ACAGTAGTTGACCGGGCATGGACTGGACGATGATACATAACGCAATACCATTTCCTTGAGGATAGGGACATCGAACGACAATACGTAACGAGGTGATTCCCTAGTAATAAGTATATAAGTTAAGGTAGTAGTAGAGAACTTCTATAAGCTATTAAGAATTAAAGTATTAAGGATGAAAGCGAGAACGACTTTCGTCTAAGGTAGGAACCCTAGTAATGTGTTAGTAAGGTTTGCTTAGGCAAAGACCTTAGAACTTAACAACGAGACTGACCCCTTCTCACTCACCAGGTGTGGAAAGGGGAAGAGGGCGTAACCAGCACGAGGAGATTAATCAAGGAGGTCAGCCGTGTCAAGTTTGAAGATGTAGGAAGGATCAGGGTATTGAGATGGGATCCTTTTTATCATATTTGTCTTTATTTCTTTACCTATGAGTATACTGGGAAACTCAAGTTTTCTGTTCAAGTGTTTTGGATTGAGAATTGCCCAACTGTTTAGGGCTTTTCGTTTGAGATTTTTGGTTATTGTCGTTGGTTGATTTTTGGTTTGACTTTAAAACATGGTTTAGGTTGCTCCGGAGTAATCGGTTTTTGTTTTAAAACATGGTTTAGGTTATTCCACGACCATTTTGTGCCCAAGGCCTACCGTCTCGGCAAGCAGAGGGAGTTCATATTGATCAAACAGAGGTGGGGCAATGAAGGCAAGGAGGGTATTGCGGAGTATACCTCGCGGTTCGAGAAGCTACTGCCCTATGGAGGACCCCAATTCCAAGGGGAGGCGGCCCAACGTGTCCACTATTTAGAGAGTCTGAAGCCTGCCCTTAAGAAGCAGTTGAGTATGCTGATGTGGAACAACAGAGAGGAAATTTATCAGGCGGCTCTCCGGATAGAGAGGGCCGAGGCAACCTCACATGAGGAAGCGGTGCAGTGAGAGAATAGCAAGAGGAAGCAAGTAGCATGCCTGAGGGAGCTGGCCAGTCGAGTCGGTTCAGGAGGAGGCCGAGTGGTACCTTTAATTTTGGGGGTACTCAAAGTCAAAGAGGCTCGGTTCGGCCTGGTCAAACCTTCAGTAACAGATTTCCCTGCAATCAGTGCGGGAGGGACCACTCTGGGGTATGCAAGTAGCATTTGGGGGTCTGCTACTACTGCAACGAGCCGAGTCATTTTGCCAGAGAGTGTCCCAGGAGAGGCGGGCAAGGGAGAGCACAATCAGAGCAGTCGGTCAGAGGCGGAGGAGGAAGGACTTACACAGGACCTCAGTTTGGTGGTCAACAAAGCCGCTCTTTCCGCAGCCAGGGAGGGAGTATTGGGATTTGACCGCAATGATCGAGGCAGAAACCAAGGGCTTCCAGCAGGGGGACACCCGAGGCTCTTTGCCATGAGGAGAGATGAAGCGGAGGCAGCACCCGAGGTGGTGACTGGTATGATTTACCTTTACAAGTACCCTGCATTTGTCCTTATTGATTCCGGTTCCACGCATTCTTTTGTTTCGACCAAGTTTGCGAGAGCTTTAGAGTTGCCTCACGTGAAGTTAGGCCAAAATCTAGGGGTAAGCACCCCGGTGGGAGAGCAATTGATTGTTGACTCGATCATCCGCGATTGTCCAGTTACAGTAGTCGGACATGAGCTCGAGGCCAATTTGGTTCTACTGCCCTTTGGTGAGTTTGATGTTATCTTGGGCATGGACTGGTTGTCCAAGAACCGGGCAAAGGTGGATTGCTATAGGAAGGAAGTTAGCTTCGAAATTGAGGGCAAGGGCACCGCTTTATTCAAGGGGACAGAGAAGGTGATCGCTGGAAGCCTGATTTCTGCAGTAAAAGCCTTCACCTTAATCCAGGAGGGATGTGATGCCTACCTGTGTCATGTCATGGTGATACAAGAGAAGAAGTTTGAGGATGTCCCTGTTGTAAAGGAGTATCCCGAGGTATTTCCGGAGGATCTTCCTGGGTTGCCGCCACATAGGGAGGTGGAGTTTGACATCGAAGTGATCCCAGGCACGACACCTATCTCTATCCCCCCTTACCGGATAGCACCAGTGGAGTTGAAGGAGTTGAAGGAACAGTTGCAAGAACTGCTAGACAAGGGCTTCGTATGTCCTAGTGTATTGCCATGGGGAGCACCCATGTGTTTGTAAAGAAGAAGGATGGCACAATGCGATTGTGCATCGACTACCGGAAATTGAATAAGGCCACCATCAAGAACCGCTATCCTCTACCAAGGATAGGCGACCTCTTCGATCAGCTTTAGGGAGCAAAGGTGTTCTCAAAGATCGATTTGAGATCTGGCTACCATCAGCTGAGGGTGGCAGACGGTTCCGTTCCTAAGACTGCCTTCCGTATTCGGTATGGTCACTATGAGTTTTTGGTTATGCTGTTTGGGCTGACCAATGCTCCAGCAGCCTTCATGGCCTTCATGTACCAAGTCCTCCATGAGTATTTGGACAAGTTTGTCATTGTTTTCATCGATGACATCCTAATCTACTCTAGGAGTCAGGAGGAGCATGGGCAGCATTTGAGGTTGGTCCTCCAGAGGTTGAAAGAGGAGAAACTATATGCCAAGTTCTCCAAGTGTGAGTTTTGGCTAGAAAAGTCTTCTCTTTGGGGCATTTCGTTTCAGGGCGAGGAGTGGAGGTGGATCCCAAGAAGATAGAAGCTATGACTAATTGGGCGCCACCCAATAACGTCCTAGAAGTGCGGAGTTTCTTGGGATTGGCTGGTTTTATCGGCGGTTCGTGGAAGGTTTCTCCAGTATTGCAAGACCCATGACACAACTATTACAGAAAGGGAATACATTTGTTTGGGATGAGAAGTGTCAAGCGACGTTCGAGTTGCTGAAGGAAAAGCTAACCTCTGCACCAGTGTTAGCACTACCAACCACCGGTGGGGAGTATTCAATCTATAGTGATGCTTCCTATCAAGGCTTGGGTTGTGTACTGATGCAGAACAAGAAGGTGATCGCCTATGCTTCGAGACAGCTACGACCTCATGAGGTGAACTACCCCACTCATGACTTGGAGTTGGCAACAGTGGTTTTTGCTTTGAAGTTATGGAGGCATTATCTCTACGGAGAGACTTTAACCATCTTCACTGATCATAAGAGTCTCCAGCAATTGACCGACCAGAAGGAGCTAAATATGAGGCAGATGAGGTGGATGGAGCTCCTCACTGACTATGATTGCACTGTTAAGTATCACCCCGGGAAGGCTAATGTGGTGGCCGATGCTCTAAACTGGAAGAAGGAGAGTCCCCTACCCGAGTTGGTCTCTTTTGAGGGCCATGAACGTGGAATTGGAGCTGGAGGAGGCAATAAAGTTGTTAGCAACTCTAAGGACTCGTCCCATGTTACAGGGACGAATCAAGGAGAAGCAGGGTGGTGATGTGGAGTTTGAAAAGTACCGGAAGCAGGTACTGGAGGGAAAGAACACTAAGTTTGAGCTGCTGGGTGGAGTGTTGATGTTTCGAGGAAGGCTTTGCGTACATGATGTCGACAAGTTGAGGGAGGACTTAATGGATGAGGCTCATTCTGGTCCGTATGCGATGCATCCCGGGGCAACCAAGATGTATCGCACCCTCAAGGAGCATTACTGGTGGCCCAAAATTACCTCTCCACCCCTATAGATTTTATTTTTGTTAGAAATTAATTTGACCCACTAAATTACATTAAAATGACCGAATAGAGATTGAGTTTTGCAAGATTTTACAGTTCCCATATTTAGGGCTGGTAAACGGTTATCCTGTTAACGATGTAACTGATAACCGAACTAGAACTGGTGCTTAATGGTTACACAGATAACCGATTAAATAATAAACGATCGATTCTCGGTAGCCAAATTTAGCTTATAACTAACCAATGATTAAACGGTTAATAATTGACGGTTAACCGGTTAACCGACTAACCGATTACGACCATCCTCATAGTTAGAGCCGAAAATAATAGACCTCCATGAGCTACAAACATAGGCACAAATGAGACTAAGTTAAAGGAAGAGTTTTAGAAGGAACATAGTAGAAAGTCAAACTTGCGCACAGTTGCTCAAAAATAATCAGTAATATTAAGCTTCCATGTAATTTGATGTGGTTTACGAGTTGAGTAATTGTTGTTGAGTATCGTTGTATGTTTCTTTAATAAAGTTTAACAGTAGAATGATATTATTTTGTACTTGTGTTGATTAGGTATTGATATATATCTGTGTTAAATTATTTTTTATTCAATGATAACAACTTAAGAACAAATGCATATGTATGAAAAATTATATAAATTTTCACAATTGAAAGAAGTAGGTATTGTGTTGGTTAGGTTAGCGATAATTTATTTTGGTATAACCTTGTCGAATCACTTGGTTAACGGTTATTCGGTTAACCAACAAAATAACCAAGAACCAACTACACGGTTACGATTAACCGACTAATTTAAATGGCACGGTTAACGTAAGCACAAAGGGGTTAACGATTAATCGAAAACCGAGTAAACGATTACGATTATAACCGAACCGATTATCACCCTAGCAATCCATATTATTATCATCAATTAATACTACCTTCCCCAACACATACTTTAACGTCCTCATTACTACTCATTACTCCTACTCAGCTATTTTCCACGTACTATCCCTATCAGTATGTACTTCCTCTATCAGTACTAACTACTGATCAAGCGGCACCTATTGACAAATTGAGTGGCCAAATGAGCATTTAAGACAATTATTTTTTTTATATATATAAGGCATCCCTTTGAGCTATTTTGGTAAAAAAGTTAACCCTAAGTATATGTTCTTGCCAAACTAGGAAACGAGGCCCTCATTTCGAAAGTGTGTTTGAGCTATAACAATAGAGCCCATTCAAAGGCAAAAAATCGAACTACAATAACCAGTCATTGGACCTGCCTGAAAGTCCAACGACATCATATCATTAATGCCACCTCCCTTGTATTGGTGAGGTTGGTCTTGGACTTTTGGGTACGTATTTGCTTTGCTTGAATACCACTTCTTTTTTCGTGCATGTACAACCTCCCTTGTAATTACCACACTCGCTCGCTCGTGGTAGCTCTTTCCCCCCATATATGTACACATAAACGCACCACAGGCTTCCCCGGCCACTTTCCCATTTAAAATGTTTCTGAACTCAGCAGCCTCTTTTGCCACACAAAACGCCTTTGTCAGATTTCCCCACGGCAAATGGCCGCCTCCACAGTCATCATCATCATCTTCTTCTTCTTCATCGTGTCAATGGAGCAGCACTGTTAACCATGGAGGAAAGGGGAGCCCAAGCAAGGGCAGCAGCAGCGTAATTAATCGACAGCATAATAGAAATCATAAAGTAATTAGAGCGGTGATCAACATTAATACGGCTGAGAATAACGCGGTTCCGGACAACCAGCTGATTTTAGCATTTGATGAGCAGAAGCAAAAGCAGCAAGGTCTTGGAATTGACAAGTTCCTGAGCGGGAAGACTTGGTTCATCACCGGTGCAACTGGGTTTGTTGGTAAAGGTAAACCTTTTCATATCAAGTCGCCGGTTCCAATTTTACATCTGATCGATCAGCTTAATTTCACGTTCACGCTAACTAACTAGTGTATTTTAAATTTGCAGTTCTGGTGGAGAAGATACTGAGGTCCATCCCCGACACAAGGAAGATATACCTGATGATAAAGGCTAAAGACACTGAAGCCGCCCTGCGTCGCCTGAAAACTGAGGTCATTGCATATATGTTAAATATATATGTATACCATATAACCCTAGCTACTAATTAATTAATTAAATAATGGGCGTATCATTAATTACTAGCATTTCTTTGTCGCCGATGTGCAGATAATAGAAGCAGAGGTGTTCAGCGTGCTGAAGGAAGAATATGGGGAGTCCTACGAGAGTTTCATGCTCGCGAAGTTGGTCCCCGTGCCTGGAAATTTGGCCGAAGCTCCTGAACTTGGAATCCATCCGGAAACTGCTGATTTGGTCGCCGGAGAAGTGGATCTCATCGTCAACTCCGCCGCCAACACAACTTTCGACGAAAGGTCTCTCTGCCTGATTCTTCTTTTTGTATTAATTAACGTGCATGTCAATTCTTGATTAATTAACAAGTTAAAACTAGTGCATATGTATATGCATATGTGTATGTAATGAATTTTGTGGGTGCAGGTATGATGTTGCAATTAATACCAACACCAGAGGAGCAACCAACCTTATGAGATTTGCCGACAAGTGCCATAACCTCAAGCTCTTCTTGCACATCTCCACAAGTATATACGTTTACATTCTCTACTTTCATTTCTTACATGGGGTGTTAATCAATTAATTATCTGGAAGTTGGGGTGCAGATTAATTAATATATGGCTTTGATTTGGATGGGATGTTATAATAAAATATTTGAGAAAAAAAAAATGTCCCTAAACGTACGCGATATTATGTGCAATTGTCTTAGATGGATGATTTGTTTGGGATATATATATATAGAGAGAGAGACTAATTTACTTTACTGGATGGTTTGCTTGGTTCCAGATCTGTGGATCCGATAGAAAAAACCAACACGAATAGTTGAAATTCGAAAATAGTTAAAAATATTCAACGATTAACAGTTATAGAATTGTTAGTTAACTGTTGACAGTACTGTTCATTGTTACAACATAAAAGACATATAATACATTAATTTAGAAGTGAAAATAATACTAATCATATATAAATTTAAATCCATATAATCTATCACCAAAAAATTTATAACAAAGTATTCAAATTATCTGATGAAAACAATAAAAAAATTTATATTAAATTCAAGTTAGTAATCAAGGTGACAATCCGTAGAGGACCATATAAAGTGACAAGGAGGCTGAAAATTGAAGAAAATTAAGCATAAATAAAATCAATGGTTGAGATTCGATAATATTAGTTTATGTTAAAGTATTTTATTTCTTAATTTTTTGGGTTAAAAACTGAGGTGGTTCATTCTATTTTCATATCAAATCGTGAAAAAACTATTGGATTCATCTATAACCGTGTAATCAAATGAACCAACCACTATTATAATTGGGTGTCGTTCTACTGGACCAACCGTTAATCCGGTTCGATTATTATAACAATGCTACTATATCTCTAATTATTTTCATTATTCTAGTATACTTCGTTTTTAAACACATCTATATATCCAACTTCAAGAAAATTCATCATGAAACTTAATTAACCACCAAACAAAAATGTTTTCAAATTCCTAATGACCCAAATCGACAACCAAGCCTTCTTTTTCAAGTCATATGCAAAAATTTATTTGTAAAATCTAAAAGGAAACAAATCTACCATGTCCAATTTTTGAGTCATTTTCAAATGTTTACAGTGCGTACAAGCATTTGAAACTAGCTTGTGTTATTTTGGAAAGTGAGAAACATTAATGGCGATGCAATACAGTACATTAAATGGCAGAAAAAGAAAATTAAAAAACAGAGGAAAAGGTTTGGTGGCATCTAAAGAGATAACACCTAATTTATGTATTTTTTGTATTTATTTAAACTTGTGCTTATTCATGCTATATTGGTGTTTATTGATGTAATAGTAGTCGTTATTCACGCAAACGGTAATAATCATGGTCTAACTTCACTAACTGTAAACTGTATTTACCACTTTCTAAATCTCGGAACCAGATCTACTTTCTCATCAGAATTACGTCTTTTTCTCTCGATATCACGCATTCCGGTGTTATTCATGCATATTGTTATTTATTCGCGTCGTTGTAAAAAAAAAAAAAATTTAAAATATATTAAAATGAATATCATTGCATGTGTAAATTGTGGTCAATACAACTCATTTCCACAAAAAATTGAAAATTCAAATTTAATTCCACAAAATATGACCAATACAAATTATTATGGGAAACAAATTTAAAATTCTATTTGCATGAGTTATTATAACTCTTACATAAATAATCAGCAAATAACGTGAATGAAACAAAAATACGTGAAATTAAGCGTTGTGACTCTTTATAAGGTGGCACAAAACCTTTAAAAAAAACAAGTGGGGTTAACAATAGACACATGACGCGCAGTTTGTAGGAAGAACTGATCTGCCATTGCCTAGGCCCTTTTCAGTCAATTACATTACATGTGCACGTTCTGGTGGTCGTGCTCTGTCTGTCTGTCTGTCTATTTGAACGAACGGTAAGGCGAATTCACAACAATAATAAGAATATATTGGTTGCGTTTGTTGGATCAATATCAGTATACGCGAACGGTGGGAGAAGCGGCAGAGTAATGGAGAAGGCATTCAGCGAGGAAGACGTTACTACCACAGCAGCAGCACTGGACGTCGCAGCAGAAATTCAACTGGCTTTAACTCACTCTGCTGCTACACCAGCTGCCGACCACCTCAGAAGACTGGGCCTTGAAAGGTACGTACCACATCATTCATGAATTCACGTACATCTATAACGTTCAATCCTTTTCTCCTTTTGTTTAGTAATTGTACTTGCCACACTCTGTACAAGAGTAGTTATGGCGAAAGTGACAATTGTGACATGTTGGCATTATGGCATACGTACTTTATGTTCGGGCATGCCATTATATCGTCTGCTGCTACGTGCATGAGATCGATTATCGGGATAACATATAATTACTCTTCTTGTACTTTGTTCATCATCAGGGCCAGAAAATTTGGGTGGCACGATACTTACACCTTCACAAAAGCCATGGGAGAGATGATGTTGGGGGATTACAGAAAAGACATGTCGTCGGCGATATTGACAAACTCCAACAAAGTGCCCATTGTTGTACTCCGACCGAGTATCATTGAAGGCAGTTATGCGCATCCATTTCCCGGCTGGATTGAAGGAAACAGGTTCGTATCTATCAAGACTATTATTATGATATAATAATTGTTATTTGCTTCCTTTTTTCAATAGTTATTTGTTTTTTTTTATTTCTCGTTGAATTTTTGTTTTGTTTGCTTTTTCATGGATCTTCATTACCTAATTTTTAAGTGGTAATAGCATTTTATATTCTAATGGTATTCTTAAAACAAGCATATTCCACACAACAAGCTAATTAATCACTCTATCTTGATTATTAACCATCATTTTGATCCTAGTTAAAGATGTGCTTTCATTTAGTGTCGATGCTCTTGGATTTATATTTAATTAGCTTGTTGCAAACTTGTATGATCCATAAATATCTTGTCATTTGAAATAAGTTTTAACCCACCAAAATCGTCAAACCCACATAGTCTCCGATATCGCACAGCCAACCCACAGGTACAAATGAATGGTATGGATCATTTTCATCGTCCACAAAAATCTTGGGAGGATAGACTTTAATCTAAAAACCGCACAACCACTCATTGTCATCCCTAGTTACAGCATATAAAATGCTATTAACCAAAATTCAAGTGATAATCACACATTTTATCTTAGTTAATGATTTACATTTTTTTTTTTTGTCGGGTAATTGTAGGATGTTAGATCCCATTTCTCAGAATTACTGTAAAGGCCGAATGACAAGTTTTCCCGGTCATCCTGATTCCATCGTTGATGTGGTAAGTTCATTGATTTGTCTTTCCACCGAATGACAAGTCTCATCATCAATTATCGACAAACTAAGTAGTGAGTTCACAGGTGCCTAACAAGTGAACCAATATTGGGCACGCATGTTGGCAGGTCCCGGTGGACATGGTAGTCAATGCAGTACTGGCAGCAGTAACTCGCCATGGCGCGACGACGGTAGCTGACAACAGTAACAATATGGTGAATGTATACCAAATAGGTTCGTCGGTCTCCAATCCAATGACTCTGAGTGAGCTCTTCACACTGTACTACCTTCACTTTGACTCTTCCCCGATGATGATCAAAGGCAAACCCATTCGCCTCAGTAGCCCGCTCGACATTTGTACCTCCATTGATGAATTCTCCTCCGCCCTCCACCTGCCGGACATCCCTTCCGGCTCCCGCCTCGGCCGGAGATTGCGCCAGGAAGCAATCCGTATGGCTACTTTCTACCTGCCCTACATGTCCTTTATGGGAAGGTAAGTTTATGGATTAGGTGGTCCTTTGCTTTATGAATCATAGGTCGGTACGTGAGTTTAAACTTCTCATCTGTTTGTTTTATATCATGTAATTAAAACTAGGTACGACTGTAGCAACACAGAGAAGCTTATGGAGGAGATGTCGGAGGAGGAAAGGGCGGAGTTTGGGTTTGATGTGAAAAAAATTGATTGGAGACATTACATTGCTCAGGTGCACCTCCCTGGCTTAAGGAAGCATGTCATGAAGGAGAGACTACCGGCAACAGCACATGTTTGATTATTATACATTCATAAGTTGATCTTGCCGACGCGAAGAAGAAGAGAGTGTTCGGTCTTGGTGTGTTGGAAACCACAATCTCAACTCCCATACATACAAGTTTTACCATGGCCGGACATGTATGTGATTTTCACCCATTGAATTCACATTGGGTTTGTGTAGTCATGGACTTCATGAATTGATCACTTGTGTTGTGAATATAGGCAGCCCATTTAAATTAGGAAATGAAATTCCTAACAATTTCCCACTTAGGCTGTCTAATTTTCACAAACACTTATACTATGAAATTCTTTAGGCACGCAACTGTATGTTGTTTGTACAACGACTACTCCTTAACATTCTGGACCACCTCATGTATCAATTATGAAACAACTACGACTTTAATCGTGATATGGCAATGATTAAACCACCATGATCACTACACCAATATACCCAATGACATAGATCAAATATGGATGAGTGGCGTGAAAATTACATGCAATATGATCTTTTAACAACTTTAATCCTTAGTGAGATCAACCAAAATTCCTTCTTATTATAATGGACCAATGTATAACTGAAAGCAATTTCAATTCCAAAATACTCTAGAAAACCTTCACTTTATTCTGCAGAAATTGATTTAGTCATAATCTACTAAACATCCAAAAATGTCTCTCACTAAACCAAAGTATGATCCGGAATAACACTCATGCTAGCTATATGCTCTTGCAAAACTTTAAGTTTCAAACCTTCGACTAATGGGTAAGTTAGCAGAAGTCAGGTTCTTAATGTTCGACAGAAAGTTGTCTATTTTGAACCTTCTCTTTAACCTTCAGGGACTTAATGTCAATAACCTTTGACTTCGGAACTCCTATTGAAAAGATAGTGTACCACTATAATAACATTGTCGCGGTTAACCTTTAATGACTCTTCAATGTCCCACGAGTGACAAAATCTCAAGAAATAACATAAATGGAAGCATCCTAACAAACTATGAACTTAACCCAACACGAAAAGGTATTTTGATGTAGAGTTCATTTAGCAAGGTTTAGAATATGTCTGCCTGAAGGGCGAGAGGAGAGGAACACTGTAACCGGTATCCAATGATCATGCCAGACCCGCGAATTGTTCTGCCATCACCAACTCGCTTGGCATCCTGCGACATCAAAGTCAAACTACTTGATGATCTCCAAATTATCTGATCTCTAATAAGTTGATATATATTCTTTTATCATCTTTAGTAAACGCATTACACGTTTGAATCTTTCTAGAGTTTCATGCACAAATTACTCAAATATCTGCCGAATACTCTAACTATAAATTCAACATTGGGATGAGAATGAACTAAAGCAACATTAGATTCATTAATGCTATATACGTAAAGGAACTTTTGGCCCTTTTTTTTACCATAATCGGGATATTGATTAGGTTCATACCGCAATACCCAATAGAAAAATATATTTGTTAGAAATTTCTCAGTTTTGTGTAATATATTATATATATCACTTCAAGTAAGTAGAATGGCATGGACATGTAAAACCAACAAACTAAATTTACTCCCCTAAACTTAAGTACACACAATCATTCTCCAACATTAGTTTCTAATTAAATTCGAATGAGCTCATAACAAGATTAAATTTGTGATATCAACAATGAGAAGCCTATGTGGTTCACATATGCATTCATTCAATTTAGAAAGCCTAAAGTTATTTCGACGATATGAGCAACAATTGTCATTATATCTAAAATTATTTTTTGAATATTCTAGAGAGAAAATCTATTTGTAGCCAATGTCTTCTTTATAAGTAAAATCTCTACAGACAACCATTTCTTATTTCTCACAATATTCTCATCGAATAAGTTTGAGTCTTCATGCAATTTAGCAAGATCCTTAACATTGTCTTTCGTAGATTTCATCATGTGACATCAATGCACTATTTAGTATTAGAACTGTACATGAATGGACTAAAATAGACTTTGTCATTAGTCAACCTGATGTCATGCTTATGTTATTTGAGGTGACATGATATTGTTAACTAGAATCTCACATCTTCTCCTATGTGAATATCCTTAATGGAATTTCTTGAATGTGTTGAGTTTGTGTAGTCCTTCCTCCCAAAACTCAACATACTGGATAAAATCTCACATTTCTCATTTAAAAATTTGTTTTTTTATGTGAGATTATAATTTTTATCCCAATATTAATCAATATATTGCTACTTTAAAGCCCATTCATCCCAACACACATCATTATTGTTTTTATCCAAAACAAAAGAAAAAATATGAACAATCAAAAGAAGACCAAAACTGATTTCTCTCACTCACTAATCACTCTAACCATTTTTCTTCATCCCTCACCCCCGGAGGAAGCACCACAGGAGGGCGCTCATCTTCGCCATGTGGAATGCTCCGGTAGAGCTTGATTCTCACTAATGCTTCTTCACCATTCCCCAAACTCTTCCTATTACTTTGGTTTCTTCTCCCCTGAATTAAATGATGGCCAGTGAGAGAACCTTAGCTTGGTTTTTTTGGTATAGTGAAAAAAATTGACTAGTGTACATGGAACCGAAGATCATTGATGAAGACATCCAAATCTTGATGGAGTTAGAGGACGAAGGTATTGCAAGGTGGAAACACTATTTAGTAAGGAGATTCCTTACCTAATCTCCCCACATTTGCCAAATTCAATCTTGGGAGAACATATTATGGATTCAGGCAGGCGAGATTAGGATTTCGTGGTTGGGTAAGAACCTCATGCTTTTCCTATTTTTTGCTGTTGAAAGAAATCCTGCTTTTCCTATTTTTCACTATTGAAGGCTACAGAGTAGGTGTTCGCGAGCGACCCTTAGCATATGCACAATGACATGTGCTACTATGAAATGGGCGTCGGGAATCCGTGTAGAGAAGCCACGACCAGAGGTATTGATGTGGGTTTGGTTCATGGATTTACCACAAGTTCAAAGGGGAAGAAGTTATGGGGAAAGGGTTGCATGTTGTCATGGGTAATATAATGTCAACTCTGGAATGTAGGGGGTTGTCATCAACATATGGAGCATAGTACCTTGTAAATGTGACAGTTAAATTATTCTCCCATCTGATGGTGAATTTCAAAATTCACTGGTAAGGTAGAATCACCATGCTTCTTTAAAAAAATTCGTTTGGTGTTTTGTAGTCTTAGTATCTTTTGATGTTGGTGCAGTCATGGTTTCAGTTTGGCTTAATTCCCAGAGTTAGTAAAGGAACAAGATAATAAGTAGAAGAAAGGTAGGAAGGGGCCAGGAATACCACAAAAATCTAAAGCAAGTCAAGGATAATATTAGTGCTCTCATGGAATCTGTGAAGGTTTAATACCCCTGTAAAACAAGAGGTAATTTTATAAGCAACTAGTAGATATAAGGTATACAATTTAGCTATCCTTCAAACAAGGGCTAGTAGAGAAAATATGAAGAAAATAGTATTAAAAAAAGCATGATTGTAAGAATGGTTTTCTACACAATGCAACATAAATTTATTTTTTATATAATTTATTATGACAAAGAGCCACTAATTTCACCAATCTCCATAATTTTTGGTAGTAATCAACGTTTCAAAGGTGTAAACTCATTGCCAAGCCAATTAATCAAACTAGACAAGTCATATGTACACCATATGTCTTCTTACCTTCAAGGAGATGACTCTAGATACGTGGGATTTTCATCCTCTGTTTTAACATTGGGTGATGTTTGGTCAACATATGTTACCGTGGACGCTTTGTGTGGAACTTCTTGGTTTGTTGCCTAAGATAACCTATCTAGCTTATTGATGTCAAACACCATAGGTGTGCCTTGCACCAAGTCCCTAATCACACCCTCTTAATTATCTTGTTTTGTTGAGGTAACCTTGTTTGTCCTCATCCTAATTCATGTTTGTTCTCTCTAAATTGTTGAGGTGATAGATGTCTAGGCTAAAAGACTCGTTTCCATTAATGTGGCTCCATTGACTCCATCTTCTACCATATAAACTTTTTGTATTTTACACTTATGCCCAAGAAATCTTATCGTCTTATGCTATATGTTTGGTTTGTGTATAGTGATACTTCTCATGCATTCTTTTTGTCCACCAATTTTGTTTTCTTATATCATTCTCACTCTTGCGCATAAACTTTCCCTTTTATCGATCCTTTTACACACTTATACACTTACGCTCATTGCACGCTCTTGGACATGCCCTACTACATTCTTTGTGGTTGGTAACATGGCACTGTCCATCTTTTGTCAAACTAGTGTGTCTATGAAAAAACTTAGTGGCTTCTACATGGTGCACATTTTTTACATGCCCCATGTCCATTTTTGTTGGAAAATATATGTTGGGTGTTCTTACACATACCCGTCATTCCATCGTTAAGGCTTCAACGTACCCCTCTGGTTGTCATCAATATGAGTCCATAAAGACTTATGCATTGTTCATTTATTGGGGCATTTGTGGTGGGTAGCCACATGATTGTAATTGTTCAACACTATTGGAATTTTTTTAAAATGGCGAGGGACCTTATCGCATACATCCGAGGATATATATTGATGTGCAGTTCGTTTAATAGTCATATCAATGCAAATCAAATACAATCAAGTTATAAACAAAAAATGTCTAGGATCGTATTCCACAAGGTCTTCTAATACATAATACTCACATCTAACTACTCATATATCGACACTCAAAACAGTAAAAGACATATATGTTTAGGTGATTTTTTAGTTTATTTAGGCAAGGTAAAGTAAAGCACAAAAGTAAAGATACATTATTGAGTAGGAAGATCACTCTATATAAACATGCATCTCAATTATCATTAGTATCATGCATCTCAATGATTCATCTATTATACCACTCTATTCCTTCTACTAAGGCATTCATAACCGAGCTTTTGCCACATGCAAGAGGAACAATAACTAGCTAATGCGTGCTTTTGCTTCATGCCATCAACTAACTAATATATAACAGAGAAGTAAATATAGCACTTAGTTAAGTAAGAGCCTGTTAAAGCCATAACATAAGGTTTATAGCATTGGTAATCTAAAAATCTAGCATTGATCCTACACATGCAATGGATGGGTGATCAATCCTCCCATATATGAATAGGCAAAGAGATATCAGAAGAAATATTTCCTAACATCCTATGTGATATTATAGAAAATCTATATAGTAGCATAAAACAGAATCATAAAAATTGAAATATAAACATCCATAGCATAGCATAAATATCAAAATACTCAAGCAACCGTGAACAAGCATAACACGAAATCATGGAATGATATAGTCATATTATAACGAGTTTACATACGTACACAATCAATTCAAACTAGCTATACATAGAAGAGAAGGAGCCTAGCACCATCGACATTGATGGCATCTCCTTG